AAAAACGACAAGAAACCGTTTTAATTTTGGATCATATTAGTGAATAAGAGAATGTTTGAACCGGAAAAACTTTGGAAAACGGGAACATTTATACAATTTTAATTAAACATTATTAAAGAAAATATATAAAGCCTATGTAATTATTTAACCCTAATATGACATACATATTGTTGACAAAGCATCACTATCAATCAAACTCCATTCAGAATCGTTTTTTCGTTAGCAATGGTTAATCGTTGCTTACAGATATACATTAAATTACCTACAACAGTGGCTGCACCCGTCCCCATTATCCTAGGACAGCATTTTTTAATTTAGTCTAGAATAATTTATAGTTGTTGTATAGTAGTCCAAGTGGTTTTTATCGAGCATACAGTTTTTAACAATTGTATTACAGGCAGTAGGACGTCCTTCTAACATTTTAATGTTTACAACTTCATTCGTTTTTACGTTTTACCCAACCCGGAACTATATATTCTCGTCGTTTCATTACGATTCAAGATTTTATTAACATTATAAAATAATATACCTAGTTCCATAAATTTCGTTACCGGAATACGAATAGGTACGAGACTCGATATATATCTATTTAAATAGGTATATAAACGCGCGTTAAAAATATACGTATTCTCAGTTTTTATTGAAAAACTATATTGTCATCGGTTATTCTCAAATACGCAGAAAGGGAAGGGAAAATCAATAAATAAAATGTTAAATTTCGAAACATTTTTGGGATTTGAACAATTAACAACTATAAAAACTAAAGATTAAACTGACTCCACAGGAAATGTCATAGCATACTCGACTTCCCCCATACGCACGCCTATGTGAAAAATGACCAGTTAAGTAAAATAAAATCCACCTCTGAAAGATGGATCAATCTATTTATCTTATCGAGAAAACAATATATGATACTAACTTGGCTCAAAATAGGACATACCATATCCATTTTACAAGTTCTGATATAGAGAATATAAAAATTTATAGTGTGACGTAGACAAAAGTAAATTTCTTGATCAACCTGATGAATATTGTTGTAGTGGTAGATGGAGAAGTCCATAGAGAAGTCCAAATTGATCCCAAAGAAGTTCTTGGTATTGTACTGGGTGGTTTAGAATTCAATATTTTAATTAAAAATATAGTATGTAATAATTTAGTGTATGTTTATTTTATATAAAAAAGGAGGCATGGAGCTTAGCCCCCATGGCACACTTCTTAATACATTTTCATATCCTACTCAATAAAAATCCTGAGAACGCCTCCGTGTAGCCTACAATATGGTAGCGGTAGTGGTTTGAAAGGACTAGAATTGTATTGGAATGATTAAGTTAAGTATAAAAGTTGATCAATTGTCACTAGGATATCCATTATCTCGAAAAGTATTCACTGTTTTTAGATTTTAAGCGGAGCAGTGGACAACTTTTCTACCAGTAATTTTCTCCGATTTTCAAGTTTAGCACATTTTCTGAAAAGAAATCTGACCGGGGTGGCCCTTTAGGGAGGTCATTTTTTGATTTTCTCAAGAGTTTTCCTAATGAGTGAGAAAAAACGGGAAAATGTACAAAATGTATTACTTTTAAACCATAAATATTACAGCCTTTCAAAACATATACAACCGAAATCCGCTCAGAATCATTTTTCATTAGCAGAGATTAATCGTTGCATAAAGATATGCATTAAATTTCTCTCTATATCCTACCTTCCGAACTTCTCATCTATAACAGTGACATTTTTTTTTTCTGATCGGTGAAACCACTACCATCTTGATAATCAAATTATTACTATTTGATTATTATTATCTGTATTAATTTTCGTATTCCGTCAACCCGTAGAAGAGATATTCCATTTTTAAGTTTTGGTAGGGGGAGAGTAGTATTATATACCGTGCCAACTGATGTTCCACTACTTTCCCCATACCAAAACTTAAAAATGCAATATCTCCTCTACGGGTTGACGGAAATTATAAATGTAAATACCAAAATGTATTATAACTAAATCTCCATGTATTTATAGAATTATTAATGAAGGTTACTATTTGAAAATTAAAAATGAGTAGTGGTTTCACCTTCAAAATAAAGGTGAACAATTTTCTAAATTATCCAAAAAAAAAAAAATCCGAACATAAAATAAATACTTTCCGAGATAACTATTTCATCGAATAATCGAATATAGATAGTATATTATATAGATAGTTTATACCGTATACCTAATATAATAGCTACTCGAGATTAATCTTTTAAGAGACGATTTTGTATAAGGAATTAGTGTTATTATATCGCTGTTATAGGTTCTCGGTCAAGTGAGGGTCACTGTTAACCTATAGTTTAACAATGAAGCGGTAAATATATCATATAACCGTAAATGTGTTTAAAAAGTTTTATTCATCGACTTTATAAAAGAAATTATTTAAGAACGCATAGTGCACAGAATCAGTTTAGGTATTATAGACAAGTAATTTTTCAAACTCACCTGCAACATAACGACCTTATGAAGGACGAAAAACTAAACGGCGATGATACCGTAAGAAAGTAATGCAAAAATGCGACAAAAAAAGTGTCTTGTGATTTTTCGATTAAATCATTTTTTCTGGTAGAAAACGTCGTCCGTGTTTTTATAAAATAATGAAATCGTGAAATTGTACGTTTTTCTACGTTTGTTTCCCACTTAAGTGCCTTTATTGAGGATATTACTATCCTAATTATTATTATGGTATAAACAAAGTTTTAAACAAAAATATCAGTAGATTTCTCGTTTAAATATCTCTTAAGTATTTAATTTCTCAATAACACATTACTATATAAATAAAAGTAATTAAATTATTTTTTTCGAATGCTCACTTTGTATACGAATGTCGGAATGTGATTATGACACGATAGCGGTATTTCAGTAAATTAGATAGGTATTAATTACAAAGACGATTAGGTCTTTTTAAGTACGCATACATAACCATTTCTGGTAGGTAGTAATATTATGTATCTATAACCTATATAAACCTTTGCTCCCGATTTCGATTCGACGAATTTTATGCTAAAATTCCATGCAGGTAAATTTATTTTATTCATTTTTAGGGTAAATTTCGTTGGAACCGAATTTTCAGCGATATTTAAGAATATACCAGTGGGCCAGTTTGCACTAATTTTACAATCATCTACAGTTCAATCTAACAGACGATAGGTATTCTCTCTAACCTAACCTTTGCCGTTTGCTGGTTTGTCGCAGCCCACAAAATAATTTAATAATTTACTTAAGTATTATGGGGTCGAGATCTTATTAGGTTACGAAAAAAATATTATATTATAATATAGTTTCAAGGTAGTCGTGCGTTGTTAACCACCAAGTGTAAATGTAAAATAAATTTCGGAGCGAATTATAACAAAAGTGAACATACCTACATGATTAATAATTATACCTACATGAATACCGAAATACATTACGTAGGTGTATAAAATCAGTAATTAATTAATTAATAAGGAAACTAACGACCATAAAACGATTTTTTACCGTTTTTTCCCCCGTAATTTTCCATCCATGACCTACAATGGTTTTGCATAACAAATCTAGGGTTATTTTCTTTTAAGTATCGAGAAGTATCAGCAGACGGCTGAAATTCTCAAAACGAAATAGTTTGAAATTGATACTTAGAATTATTAACAGCAACCCAATACGATACTTCCACGTGTGCACAATAAGACATGGTGCAGTATTTGAATCGACCCGGTGCCGAAATGGATCCCAGAATGCTAAAATGATAGTTACAACATGATTAAATACCTACATGTATTGAAATTTAGCCCAAATTATATCACTTAAATTCATCTACGAAACAAGTCTAATTCCCGAGTTTGAACTCACAAGGTTCAGAGGGAGCCGCTAAAAAAGTAGCAGTAATAAAAATATTAAATAATAAACACAACACAGTGCAGTAGTATCTATTTAATGAAAATTCTATAAAAATCTTAGAAAAACTAATATGGCTTCTTCGCTACATTCTTTCTTCTGCTCCTTCGCCTTCATTCCAACTATTTTGTGTCCCCCACCCTTGTTATAAACTTCCACTAAACTCTTATTTTGTCTTCTATCAAAGGCACATCTCTTATGTACTCAACCCTTATCCTATTTTCTATCATCACTCCACTTATCCACATAAGCACCTCTGCTACATTCATTCACTGTTCTGTTTTCATGTCTACCACCCAACATTCCGAACCATACAACACAATCAATCTAACCACAATTTTGTCTACAGTTAAGTTTTAATTTAACTTTTAGTTTCTTCGCTATAATAAAAATCTAATAACCTAATTATATATCTGTTGGTTGACCTCTATACTCCTTTTGAACTCATGGTACTATTTTTTCATATTTCTTGTTATTACAAAATTGGTAAACCATTCAAAATCACAGATTACATATTTTAAAATCTCAAATATTTCGTCAAAATGGATTGATATCATAAATTATATAAATAACTGGGGTTGTCTTAAATTTTGATCCTGGATATACCTCTAGTTATAATGTCTATTATATAGACAACAAGGTGGATTTACAAATCCACCTTGCTAGACAGTTAAATATCTTGTGTTTTAATTCCAAAAAAAAATATGCACCCACACAAGATGTCATAGCTTCGCAATGTTTATAACATGGGTTTCATTTATGGTTTACATATTTATATTTTATAATATATTATATATATATATAATGTTGAATGTAACACAAGATATTAAACTACAATAATCTTTGTAAAAATATATTAATTGGGGATCACTTACAAAGAGTACATTACGTTTAAAAGATTATTAAATTTGGTATCAGCCTTCCAATTCCATTTCTTTAAATTCTTTGCCCTACTACAGTTTTTGGATACTCTATTTTCAAACACATTTTATTTGTATGGATAACATAAATTCCTCTATGAAGAATTCATATTGATTTTAAAAATGTTTATACTGGATTAGTATTAATCAGTACATTGGAATAAAAATCACATTCAAACTGTGTTATATTTCATATAATAAATACATCTTTATTTAATTACTATAAATAGGTAATATATATTTTGAAAGATTAAAAATTAACAATTAATAAAAAAGGTTAACAGTCATCAGATAGGACTGAAAATATTTTTCAATGTACAAAGGTATAAAGAAAAAGCTTAAACTGTATCTAAATATGATAAATCATCATCATCCCCAGTTGAGAAAATTGATGCAAAATCTGATTGCTCTTGGGTTGGTAGTGGTTTTGAGTTATTCAATTTAACTTTTTTAGTATTATCATCCAAACATGTTGATTTTTGTTTGTACCTAAAAGCGCTTAACTTTAGTCTTGCTAATTGCCCTGTATCTAAAGATATAGGTGGTGGTGACTGTGATTTATTACTTTTTCTCTTTAAACTAAAAGACTTGTCTGCCAATTTTTTTGGTGATATTAAAGTTGTAGTTGATGGAGTTGATAAATTTAAAGAAACATTATTATCTTTTTTCCTGGAATTGATAACAAATATATCTTTATCATTAATGTCTTCATCAAATACTTCTGTAGTAACTTGTTTGGATGAGTTGGGCAATATTTTCTTTACTTTAGAAAGAACAGTTTTTATTTTTGTTTTGGGAATTTGTGACATGTAAAAGTCATTTTGCTTTTTTATCTTTATATTTTGTATTGCTTCTGATATTTTGTTAGTTAAAAGATTCTCTGGAATTTTTAATAGTTCATTAGATGTATTAATTTCACTTATACTTGTATTAGGCACATTTATTATGGATGATTGACACCATAATTCCATTTCTTTTTCTAGAATGTCTTCCAAATCTAACTTTTTTAAAATTATTTCCACTAAAATCAAAAATAAATCAATAAACCTTGTTATTAATATAGTTTAATATTTGTATTGTAATAGACATATTACTTTCTTTGATATATGTTTCTCTAGGACACGATGGAAATTTAGTATACAAGGTGTTAATGCTATCTGGAGATCCGTCATCATTTGAACATTCCATTAATGACACAGCAACTATGGCGTCTTGAACAAGTACTTGACTACGGAACATGAGTTTTGCATGTGCTTGAGATAATCTAAAAAAAGCAATTATGAATATGTAAAAGTATGAACAATATACAATTTTAATTTAATTTTAAATTACTCAATAACAATAATATTAAAATATAAAAAAAGCTGATATTGGGGACAGATGTGTTATTCTAATATAACTTGTATACATAAATTAATCAACGGGCACATTTGTTCTGTCATCTTCTAAACTCTATTCCTTTTAATGTTCCTTCTTATACTAACCTACCTTTCTATATTCCGTGTTACAACACAAATTATCAAGCCAACTCCCCCTTTTCAAGAGCATTTTCGCTTTACAACAAGTGCCTCATTAATGATTTCTTTTTTTCGCCTTTAACTAAGATTTTACAGTCGTATTTCACTTTAAACCAGCACAATTTTTAAGTTGCATTTATCATTAAACTTATAGTACCATTAGTCTATTGTTGTTCAGTTGTGTTTAATCTTATACTTATATAATATTATGTTAAATATTCAATATTATGTTTATTTGTTATATAAAAATATATATTTATTTATTTATTTAAATATAGAAACCCTCCGAGGATAGTGGTAAGAGAACAATAATTAGTATACAGTTAAATTGTAATGATAAGTAGAGGTGCAGGCTAAGCATGGTTGAGGTGACCCAACATTTTATGGAGAGGTTCATTGTGGCCATAAGATGTGAGGTGAGCTGGAATGGAAAAGAGGAAATGATTTCGAATGTAGTGTGAGGGGACACGGAAAGAGACATTTATTGGTAAGTCAGGTGCATCGAGCGTAGCATTAAGAAGAGAGGAAATGAAAATAAGGTTAGCATTTATATGACGAGAGTCAAAAGTAGGGATGTTGAGTTAAAAGTCATAGTAATGTGATGGACGAGTTATCTTCAGTTGATAGGCTGCAAACAAAAGAAAACAGTTCTGGACCCGTTCAATGTGCAGTTGGTCACACGCAAAGTAGGGGTGTCAAACAGTGATTCTGAACTCTAGTATCAAGTGAGGATGAGGAAAAAAAGAAGAATTGCGTTTAATGAACCCAAGGATTTTTAGAGCACGCTCAACAGTAACATCGATATGGTAGAGGATAAATGAAAACCAAGATCCTTGATTCCATCAACACGAGTGAGAGGGGAATCACCCAGTGAATACAGATGAAAAATAGGAGAATGCTTCCTAGAAAAGGTCATGGTGTGACGTTTGCTGAAATTTAAGTCTAGGTTAACAAGTTTGGACCATACAAGAAAGGCATCAAGATCTATCTACAACCAGAGGGGGAATCAATTCGGGAGAAGATTTTAATGTTATCAGTAAAAAGAAAAACCTTAGCAAAGGAGAGATGTTAATTTAAGAACGACACTAAGAGGTATATAATATATATATTATATATGCTTCGTTACATGCTTTGTTTTTTAATAAATATTTTATACAAAATCAATATTTTTGTTATCAAATAAAAATTATAAAATAAAACTACCTTAAAAGACTTTCCAAAAATCTTACAGTAGTTCTAGCGGCATTTCTGTGAGTACATTGGCGTTGCATCCAATAATATTTACTTAATATTATGTTTGCATCTTCTGTAGTTTCAGGTTTCATATTTCTTATGGTGCAAAAATAGTGTTGAAGTTTTTCTAAATTCCACAATGTTGTACTGTTTTTATGAGCTCCTGGTTTTTTTCCTTGAAGAACATATGATGATACAACTCTATAAAAGCAATTTAAACAATTTATTTATATTGCATTGGAATAGTATAAGAATAACACTATTACTTCTCCCATTCTTCATTTTTCGTGTCTATAAGAATCAAAATCAAATCAAAGCGACTTAATAATGGACTGGCGACTTTTATATTTTCTGCTATAGATAAATTCAAATTGTATCTATTTTTTGGATTCATTGCAGCCATTACAGTACAACGAGTATCAAGTTTACAAACTAAACCAGCCTTTGAAAAGTAAATAAAATATCAATTTTACAAATCTATTTTAAACATTAAAAAAAAAAATATAATATCTACTTTGGCTACACTAATTGATTGTTGCTCCATAGCTTCATGAATTGCTGTACGGTCATCTTCTCTTAAAGAACCAAACTCATCAACACAGCATATTCCACCATCAGCCAATACTAGAGCTCCAGCTTCTAAATGCCATTCAGATCCTTCCTAGTAATAATTAAATAATAATATAAAAATAACAATTAAATAAATTAAATATTTGACCCTAATATCCAGTCAAACATATATTTACTACCAAGACAGATATCTGCCAAAATAACTTAAATAAAAATCTGTAAAAATCCTTTAATGTAAAGTAGCTATTAATCTAACTAAAATGTATTGCTCTGCATACTAAGTCATTACCCTAAATGCAGCTACAGTGAGTCCTGCTCTTGATGAACCAACTCCTGTAGTAAATATTGATCTAGGACATATTTTCCAGGCAAATTTAAGTAACTGTGATTTGCCAGTACCTGGATCACCAACTAATAATAAATGAGTTTCACCTCGAATTCGTATTGTGCTGTCTTCTGATGCTGGTCGCTGTACCCCCCCAGCCAAACCTAAGGCTACAGCTAACTTTGCTGTATACAAGCCATAAGTCTGAAATAGTAAAATTATTAAACCAACTTCATAAATTAAGAATAATTTTTTTACTAACTTGAGGACTAATTGATGCAATAATATGATCTCTGGCTGCAAATGGATTGTTTTTATTATCTTCCCAATATTTTTCAAATTCTTTTTTCCACTCATCAGTGATCATAATTGCAGATTGTTGATCATTACAAACAATTAAATGATTTGCTCTTAAACACAATTCGATGTCAATATAAGCATTTTCAGTAGTTTGATGCCATCTTCGAATTACAGTACCACTGGTTAAATCAAACAAATTATAGAAACTATTAAAGTTTTATAGTCCCACGGGTATTTTTTTACCATATTATGACATCATCACCCGGTTTACACTTATCAACCAAATCATCTTCTAAAGAAACCCACATTGAACGAGGCATTGCTCCTAGCCCTACTTTGCCAATTTGTTCCTAAAATAAAATTTAATTAAACCAGAATACAATTTTTACTGAATTAAGTAATAAATACTTGAACTTTAATTTCTTGATAATCTTTTATAAATTGTTTATCGTTTTTAAATGGTTTTAAATTAGTACCTGGGCAGTCTTCTGGATTGGGACACCGTGAAGGAACAATAAGTTTGTTAAATTGTTCATAATCAATCTATAAAATACAATTATGTGTTTTAAATGATAGGTAATGTACTGCGGATGATGTTTACAATAAAACTATAGACATTTATAAAATATCTATGATTTTAACTATCATTAATGGATGTAGTTAGTGAGCTATAAAAAAATCGTTCTTACTATGCTTTAGTTTGTTTTATTATTTCCATGTTATACAGAAAATATGTATTTTATCTTATACATTAACATCTAATATTATATGATACCTTTACATTTTATTTATGTCTTTATTTTGTCTACAAAGCTTCAAAGTGAAAATGTTTATAAATTAAGAGCTATCTAATTAACTTAATGTAGATATTTAGGCATTCAAAATAATTTATTTGAAACATTAAATATGATAGAAATTCTACAAGTGAACAGCAGCTATTTCTGTTAGAATTTTCAAAGGTTGCTAAATTGTCAAGAAAAAAAAAATATTTGATGCAAAATGTTAAATTGTGATTTATGCTTTTGCATTATGTTTTATGACTAAAGTAATAAATTGATATATACCAATCTTAAAAAATTAAGAATACTATTATACAAATAATAAACTAAATTGTATATTATGTTACTATACCTTTACATCAAATGGTTCTTTGCATTTAGTGCAATAATAAATTCTTTTGTATTCTAATAACTTGGGTAATACTGTTCTTACAACAGTGCCATCAACGCGTAAAAAAGATCCAATATCTTCATTGCGTGGAAATATTGTTCGGTGCAATTCTGGACACTGAGGTAATGCTGAAAAATTTGAAAATAAAAAATACTTTGTTAACTATAATTTTTAAATTTTATTGGCTATAAAAAAAAAAATAGAAAATAGATACATTAAGTTAATTTTCATACAACAAATATCTACTAATTTAAAGCATAAATTCATATTTAACAACATTTTAAATAGGTATATAAGCAGTAAATATAGTCACATTATACAATTTTGTCTCATACAGGCATCACTTAATAAATTAAAATTAACTTTAGAACAGGGGCAGACTCACACTAAATTTAAGCCCCCTCGGTGATTTGCTTTAATGATAGTTAATCAAAGGATCTAATTAATTTATATTTATCATAGAATTGATACTGACATTGAGATACACCACTTCTTGTATGAAGATCTTGACCTCTCAATAGTTATTTAACTAAATTTATTAAAATGGTTCTTGTTAATTATAACAAAAACATAGGCTAAAAAACACAATGGTACTGATATTGTACCAACTATTGTATTAAACTTCATTTAAGCAGTGATAATAATGTATACTAATATATATTAAATGCCCAGTTGGTGAATATCACATTGTCACTTGAGTCAACCCGCTTCTGCTTTAGAATAAACTTCCATTAGGTATAAATTATTAGAAGTAACTATTATAAAATAATCAATAATTTTTTTTCCCCGATTGGTCACTAATTCCATTTATCTAGTTTAATCACTCTATGATCCAATGTAACCGTACAAAATAACATACCTGTAATTCGGGTGTGTACTTTTTTTTTTATACGAAGCTTAATTGGTTCATCCTTGTGATTTCTTTTTAACACTCTTTGAGCAACAATTAAATCTTTATCACACTGTTCAAGAAAGTTTATAGAATCTTGAATTAGTGCTTCCCCTAATTTAGGATCTTCCTCAAAAAGTGTCACAAAACTAATAACATACAAACAAATAAATAGATACATAAATCAAAATAATATTTATTGATATCTTACTTAATTGTTAAAGAATAGTGGTGATTCTTTTCACTGTGTTTTAATATATCCAACAATTCATCTGCATGATAGGTGCACAAGTACTCTTCAAACATTTTATTTAGAAATAAATACGTGAGTAATCTGAATTTATAACCCTCAATTTTTCATAAAATAACTGTCCATTTTATAATGGAAAATAAACAAAACAATATTGTTCACTTTAAACAACTTGTTACTTTGTAGCTTATCAATGAATAAACTCGTAAAATAAAAACTGCCAAAATTTCACTGATATCACATCCCGTGATATAAACCTTTTGTTATTATTAATTTTTATCACTGATCAGTGTATATTTTTTAATTTTTATGTTGAGCCAATTTTGAGAATTGCATTTATTTAATATAGTCACTAATATCATTTTTTTTTAGATTTCTATAATATGAATGAATTCCATTTTAATACAAATACAAATTGTAAGTATGAAATACTTGCTGAAATATCATTTCATAGTAAGACTTCCAAAAAACAGACCATCAAACTACTATGTAGCCGTATTTTAGCCCGGCATCGTCCTAAGTAATTTTAAATAATTAATTTGAACAAATTTTTCTTTTATAATGATTATTTTTTAATTTTCAGAGAAAACGAATACGAATATTTTGATGACAATGATATTACTCAAGAAAATAGTAATCTAATAAAAGAGCACACAGAGGATGATTATAAAGTTAAACCAAAATTAAATAATGCACTAAAGTAATATATCCACAATATATTAAGTAAATTTAATTTTTAAAAATCAAACATTTGGATATATAATATAAATACACCTAAATAATATAATTCTAATTTGCATTTAAAATAGATACACAATAAATTAATTTTTAAATGTTAAAATGTATATTAATACAGTCCATTCAGGATGTTATAAATAATTATTGGAATGATTGCATATAAATAACTTGTATTCATAGGCAGAACTAGGCATTTTCATTATATTGAGCCACTTTTCCTGGTCAATTCAGATATGTACTTAAATGAGTGGAGAGAGTGGAAAATTCATTGATACCATTTTTTTTTTTTTAATTTGTACAAACTTGTATATTTTTATTTTGTATTTAAAATTAAAGTTATAATATAAAATGTATAAATTTTGTACCTAAATTTCAATTAAATTTCCCTATTTAAAGTCGATAGTTAAACTTCTTTGATTCAACATTATCTCTTATGCCTTGCTATTTTATTTGTATACCATTTTGTTATATCTTTAATAATGTTTAATTATCTTTAATTTATTACTAACATTCAAATAACAAAATATGTATTATATGTGATATAATTAATAGATATTAATATTTTATAAATCAAAAAAATATAAAATATTTATAAAACTAAATGACTCCCATATGGAACAAAATTATTTTTTAAGTTCTTCAATTACTTCATTAATATTGATATTTTTTGTAATGGTTTACTCAGTATATGGAAGCATCAAATTACCTGTGGTATAAAATTTAGTTTTGTAATGTGTACCTGTAAGCTTTAAAAATACCTACTCTTTCACATAAAGCACTATAGAAAATTCTATTTATATTTTCCTATTATGTGAAAATTGTCTCAATATCACTTTGCCTTAACACCCTTAAACTACAACTAAATGAACAATATTTGTAAGTAAATTTGCCACCGGCATTTTTGTTCCTACAAGCCTTAAAAAGTCTTATTTCGTGTTCAAATTTATCTTTAGTAACAAAAAAAAAATGTCCATTTATATATTATTTATACTTTATACATTTATACGGTGCTTGATAAGCCTGGGCCAGGGCCCAGTTAGCCCAGGCTATAGTTCCGCCTATGCTTATATTTATGATTTAAATATGTTGGCATTTAGAAATCGCTTAAAAGTAATTGTGTTAGAACATTTTTTTTGAAACTTATTTACATATTAAACAAAATATGAATTATTCTCAACAAATTATTTTTAGTGAGGAAGATGGTAGTTCTAGCATCCAAGAGCAGTTTACAAATATAAGTATCAATGAATCAGAACTACACACTAAATGGTATGCATATTGGGAAAAAAATGGGGAAAACTTTGTAAATGAAACTTGGTTAAAACAATATGGAAATTGTACAATGGATGATCATCCAATGAGTTTAGAAGAATTGTATGAAAAACATCGTGAACAGCAATATCATATATTGTACTGGAAATTTGTAAATGAGTTGGATACTGTTACTATAGAAACTGAAGAACATACATCTGAGAGTTGGTAAGTATTTAATATTTATAAATTGTATCATGTGATATTAGGTGTAAGAGTCGATGTTATTACAAAACTAAATTAATTTTTTTATATTTTCAATATTATATTGTTTATTTTTATATACAGCATTGATGTTCAGTGTGACTCAAGTTTTAGTGAAGAATTTGATAATTTTGATAATGTTTCAAATTTTGATTTTCTTTACAAGTATAGGTAAGGAAATTTATTGCATTAAATCATTCAAAATAAATATTGTTTTTATGCATAATATTGTTGTTTAAACATATATTCCGAGTGATCCATTTGAGTGGGTACACATCTCGGAAAGTATTAACTATTTTCGGAATTAATTTTCTAGAACATTTAAGGAACAAGCAGCTCTATAATTTTATATTTATGTTATTTTTTTTCACCCTTATTTTTGGGTGGTAAAACTGTTTTATAATTTTGATTTTCTAATGGTAACCTATATTAAAAATTCCATAAATAGATGGAATATTAGATAAAATAAATTTGAGTGCTGAAATTTTCGATTTCTGTACAAACTGTAGACGAGATATTCCACTTTTAAGTTTGGGTTGGAGAAGAGTAGTGGTATATTATTAACTCCCCCCCTCGCTGTACTGCCACACAAATGATATTCCTGTTTTATTGAACCTTGTAATTTTATGTCAACTATATTATATTATATATTTTAATATGTTTTTCAGACTTTTTCAAGACAAAAACATTTATTTAACCAAAGCTTACTGGGCATTAAGTATAATAGGTTATATTTATAATGATCAAAATGAGTTTAAGTCTGCTTATGTTGAGTATCTTAAATCAAATATTATAAAATCTACTCGTCATTTAAATGTGTACAAATATCCAAAAGTAGTAAGTATATTTTTTATGATATTTTTTTAATTGTATATATATGTCAACTAAATTATTTGTTTCTAAGGTGGAATCAAAAAATGTTAACAGCGAGATAAACACAAAATCTTTAAATACCATTACAAATTTAGAAAAACCAAATAACTGTGATGTCGATGAACAGGTTTAATATATTTTAAATATGCTTACTTTCTTTTAACATGTCATTTAAAATGCATTAAATTGTTTAACTGCATTTTAGTGCAAATCATCAGTTACTAAAATGCCTTTAAAAAAAAAAAAAGTGCTAAAAAGTGAAAAATGGAAACAAAGAAAAGATGAACGTATGATCAATGAAATGGAAAAATTTGGTTACACTTATTTGAAAAATAACCCAAAACTATTAAAATTTTGGAAGAAAAGACATTTATTATTTTCTAAATTTGAAGAAGGGATAAAATTAGATGAAGGTATTTTTTATTAAAGTTGTGTGTGAGTTTAAATTTATATATGTGTGTAATTAATAACACTTAAATGGTTTTAGAGAGTTGGTATTCTGTCACTCCTGAAATAATTAGCAGTCATATAGCTGAACGTTGTAGTTGCTATTTAATTGTTGATCCATTTTGTGGAGCTGGAGGTAATATCATTCAATTTGCTAAAACGTGTGAGCTTGGTATGTCTTAAAATAACAGTGGTTAGTTATTAAATTTATATTTTAGTTTATTTAAATTAATGTTTTGTTTTTAGTTATAGCTATTGATAATGATCCAAAAAAAGTTGAAATGGCCAGACATAATGCAGAATTGTATGGTGTTGCCGATCGAATTGAATTCATTATTGGCGATTACTTTGCTTTAGCACCAACTCTTAAAGCTGATGTTGTATTTTTGTCGCCACCATGGGGTGGACTTGATTTCATGAACCTCGAAGAGTATAAATTTTCAGATATAATGCCTAGTAATGGTGGTGGAGAACATATGTTATGTTTGGCTCGAAAAATCACATCAAATATTGCAATACATTTACCAAAAAATACCAACATTTTTGATGTATTAAACATTTTTATTACTATACTTATTTATAACATAATAATATTAATAGTGATTTTTTTTTTTTTATTAGTGTTTAAAATTAGCTGATGATGGTTATGTTGAAGTACAACAGAACATGCTTAACTCAAGGTACAATTCTTTAACAGTTTACTTTAGTGAACTCTATGGATTGTGTGATGAAAACATATGATAACTTTATTGAGTAATAAATAATAATATACTTATACATGATTTACTATGTATAATCAATTTTTTTTTATTAATTAAAGTATATAATTTAATTTTATGTTATCTAGTATGAGAAATACTAAATATTATATAATACAAATTTAAATTGCTATAATTTGGTCAATTTTAGTGTTATAAAAGTTTGATTTATTGTATTATTAAAAATACATATAAATATTATGGTAAACTGCTTTGATGATGAGTTCATCGACACATAATTGTTCACAATTAATCTTATAACAAATTGCTCAGATTCTAATTTATTTTTGTGCATTTTAAATACTACTGATATTCTAAATAAGCTAGATATTATGACTTTTAAAACTAGTCCAGGCACAGGCATGATTCCTAGTATTGTTTTAAATTAAAAATATGTTTTAACTGTTACTTCTTCCTTAAATACTGAAAAAAGATGCAAACCTGTGACATATTAAAGGTCTTGAAACCTGATACACCACAAATGTAATATTTACAATCTTCCTCTTCAATATGTACATGATAATTTTGATCTATTTGTAATTTTTGAGTCTGATCTACACTTGATTTACACTTTTATACATAATAGATAAATCATTTTTAATTTTAACATTTATTTCTGGAAATTTTAAGAACTTAGCTAATAAGAACGTTTTAGAACTATATTTATTTCCTTAGTTAGATTTAAAGTTATTCAATCTTGGATACAATAGATACCTACATTCTGTTGTTTTACTCTATACTTAAACACATTCAATGTTTAAACTTTGGAGAATGTTCGAAATTGTTTTATTTGTTTTATGATTTAAATGTAATATTATACAAGTAGATACTTAATTTTATTACCAAAAATTGTTTGGTACATTAAAAATTATAAGTTTATCAAATTGAATGCAAATTAATAACTTAAAAGTTTTGTTTGGAGGAATATTGTCTATAGGATAGGTGTATAGAATTTATCATAAAATCATTTTTCTGGAATGATTGAAATACATTTAACTTATTTCACTTATGTGCAATATAACACATTATGATCAAGTTAACCAATATTATAAACATAAATGTGAAAAATTAATTTTAATTTATCCTTTCACAGTCCAATGATTATTTAAAAATAACAAATTAATGGTTAACATTTGTAATAGTTTACAATAAAAATACAAAAACACCAACTTCCTAAAAACATTATAAGATGATAGCCACAGTAATTTAACTATAGTGTTTAAATAAAGACACAGTGAAGAGAATTAATATTAACAAGTGTAATCTTCAAGAAAATAAATAAAAAAAACTATTTGTTCTGTTTATGGTTGCCTAGTGAATTTAAAACTTTAGTATAGAACAGTAATTTTGGTTGATAATTTATGTAGATCTCGGAACTGCTATAATACATACATATTGAGTTGGATTCTATACATTTTACAAAAATGGATTAGCTATAAATCATGGATTTTATAGTGCCTTGAATGATGAGTCTTTATATTCGTAATTGGTTGTATTATATTATAAGGACTCTCATATAGGAAGTACTGCACAGGTACTGAAACTTCATAAGTTCGTTTTGACAAATGGTCTTCGACCATAGATAATACATATTAATTGAATTAGGTAGGTATATTTTACAAATATATATTCAGTATGCCCAGCAAATTTGATCAGTTTTCGTGGTTCAATAAATTTTAAATACAACCCAAATATTGCTTTTTCTGACTAGAGTTGTTTCATGCAACATATAGTTTTCACTTCGTCGTTTTGTTTTGCTTTCGATTTTTGTCGGTCGTCGTTTTTTACAGACTCCTCCAAAATATCTTGAATCTCCTGGAACGTTTTACCGGTTGTCTCAACTGCGTAACGATATGCGAAATACGCGCAGATAAAGTTAACAACCGTAAAACCCCAAAACATTGTGTAATACCCATAAGTCCTGGAGATGACCAAGAATATCTTGTTGGACACGAATGAAGCCAATGCCATCGTAATGGAAGCAATTGCTGAACAATGCGAACGAACGTTCACTGGAAACATTTCTCCCAGAAACACAACCGGTATGAATCCGACGCCGATAGCCAACGCTATGGCGAATGAAAAGTGACACAAGTACGGTAACCACGTGAACGAAGTGAGGCCCGCGTGGTCTTTCAGGAAATAGTAGACTCCGAAGGTGAACGTTATCAGTCCAGAGGACACCTCTGAAAATATCAACAGCGGCTTTCTGCCCACCTTGTCCACCAGGGCCAGCCCAATGAAGTTGACTACGACTAACATGGTGGCAAAAATCATGATGTATTCAAATTTGCCAATAATTGGAGCCGGTTCGGGAAGAAACAACGGTGAATAGGCCAGTAGACAGCTGATTCCGCCCGCCCGCTGTGCTATGCACGCCGTTACCACGACCATGAGCGCTTTGAAATTTTTTCGGTTGGTGAAGAGCTCGTAGAATGTCGCTTGGTTTTCCATTTCTTTCTGGACGTTGACATCCATTTGGTGTAGTTCGGAGGTGATCTCTGAGTCGCACCTGTACCACTGCAGGCACTTTGCCGCTTTCGCCTCACGGCCCTTTTTCAACAGGTAATACGGCGATTCAGGCATCCAGAGAAACATGAGGAAGAACAGCACTGGCATGACAGCTGACACCTTGTTCAACGTCCTGTACGTCAGAAATGGTCCGACTATCACTTCGAACAGGAAACCGCTGCTGAGCTGTATGGTAAACACGCTGCCCAGCGCTCCGCGAATTTTGACGCCCGCAATTTCGCCCAGGAACACCGGCACCACCGTATACGACATGCCCTTGCCAATACCCGCCATTAATCTGGCCCCGTATAGAGCCCAAATGGACGGTACGTACAGTGTCAACAACCAAGAAACGATGAACAGAGGCCCGAGGACGACGATGCTCAGTTTTCTACCCAGTGTGTCCATCATGTATCCCGCGAACACTGGACTGATAAAGTTTCCCAAGTCCATCAAGCACACTATCCACGACAACTCGTCATAGGTCACTTCTACATCGGTCTGGTGCTTTGCGAATTTTTCGCCTACCGAGCTGGGCCATCCTAACCACATGCCACTGATGAATATGGACATGGAGGCTGTAACGATAAAACATTTAAAATAATACGAATTATCAAAACTAAACAAATTCAAGTGGGAATTTTACTTAGAATCCTACTTCGATATTTTTACTAAATAGTTATTTTTAATTTAAATAATTTCAATAAAATAATATGCTAGGCTGTTGGAGCCGGTTTTTCCAATTACCTTCAATTTTGTAAAATTTGATAATTATTTTTAACATTTTAACAATCACCTAAATAAATCCATTTAGGGGAATGTAATAGAATCGTTTTTACCAAAGAGTTTTTGAAAATGTTTTGAAAACTCAAAATGTTTTCGTACATGAAAAACAATCGAAATTTTCCTACACGTTTTTATTCCCTAGACCAGTGGCGCCGAACTTGAGGTAGGTATAGGTTGGGCGGCCACCCGACCAAGTTTTTTGGTGGTGGGTAGTGCTAGTAGTGAGAAATATACATAGTATGAGTAGTATTTATAGAGCATATCACTATAACAAATAGAACTATGAGTAATGTGATATATTATTACACCCAAAGAAGACCAATATACAGTATTGCCTCGTTTGCCCAAGTATATTTAAACTACTTCCACGCCACTGCCCTGGACTTTTTATAGATGACAATTACTTGACGAGAAAAACTAACGTCTCGTAAAATGTTGCAATTTCAATAATTCCTTAGTTTTTAGGAATTTTAATTTTGAAAGTCATATTAAAAAAAAAAGTAATTATTCTACGAGGCGTGAGATTTTCCCCGTGACGTATGCTTTTGTACTAAACTATACAACGGCTCCAGCAGTTTTTAAAACTGAATTTAATGAATACCTACTTTATAATCGGTAGGTAGGTACCTATTTTAATGCGAATTTATTTACTAAGTTTGTAATAATTATAACATAGTGTACCAACGTTAAGAATTCATAGTGTGGTACCCGTACCTATTAATTTATTTAACCGATAAAAGTAGTAAATAATTGGTTTATGATAATTATTTTTAATCATTATTTACAAATTGTAAATTTACTATTCACATGCATTATTTGTATTGATAAATATTCAATTTATTTTCAGACATCGTACTAGGTATAATAATATTATAACAAATCGTTTACCGCGTAAATATTTGACGCAATAATGCGTTTGTCTCCGTCATAATAATGATAATTGTCTAATCTAGATTGCATTACCTATTTGTAGAACCTATGCCAATATAATTTTGTTTAGCACCGAGTAATTATGTTTTATTAAAGTTGCATTATATGTTGCGAGTATTAACAATAATTAAACGTTTAGTACATTGTTAAACATAGGTATACACATATAAACAATACAAAAAAAAAATGATTTTTCAAACAAGTAAACCGTGTACCCTACTCGGTGATAATAGACCAACAAACGAAAGAAAAAATAATAAACGTTAGTAAAATTAACATTCCTACAGGCAATTTAATGTGCACTAAAATATAATAACAAGAATTATCGATTGTAAATAATGAAAGAGGTTAATAGATAAAGATGAAATATTTAAAATTCATCAAGAAGATGTTTTGAAACGAACAAATTACTGTAATAAAATCTTTATGCTTCATCCACAGAAAATAACAATAAATAGTAATCGATGTTATCAGAACTATAACATCCTTAATCAATTAATTATCTCCATACATATTTTGTTCAGAGATTTTGTATACATCTGCAATACGTCAAAACAAGACTATTTATAAAATAATATCGATTACAAAATAAATGTCAATTACCACTTTTACCCAATTGGCATAGGTGGAAATCGGAGGGGCGCTTGAGAGGACTAAGCCCCCTCCTTAAATTTAATGTTCTTTTAAAGTTCTTAGTTTCCCTGGCCCTCAAAATTATATAAGGCCTAAATTTATAAAAACTGTTATAATTATTTTAAATAATTGTTAAATTAAAATGCATTACAAAAAAATATATTTATTATATTGTACAGTTGGTATTTTTTGTTTGAACAGGTATTAAATTGGTTATAATTGAATTAATTTAATGCCTAATAATTTTTGTTTAGAATATTTTAAAAATATTTAAGATAAGGCACCAAATTGTTTTTGTACTTACTATGGTTAAATTGTTCAGTCCCCCTAGTAATGTTTCCAAATTTCCGCTTATGCCTATTGGCAATACAATTGCATAAGCGTGCGCAGGGCGGATGACAGGTATGCCATGGCTTCCCCTGCGGTCTGCGAGGCAGTTTTTTGAAATTTACTATTTAATGAGGTAATTTATAAACAGTAATCGGTTAAGAAATTTTGACAGTTAAGCCTAGGTTTACTTTTTTAAAATTTTCTTCACGGCTATAAATAATATCTTTAATCTTGATTTTCATCAAGTACATTTTAGTGATACTGGGAGTTGGGAATTGACATATCAACGTAGCTAGAAACGTAACCTTGTAGAGTTGCAGATAACCAATAACTATAGAGCAGTCTGATAACAATATTCGCGCGAAAATTATTGATATTATAATCTCTACTTAGACACGTTTAATTTGAAAACAACAATTACTGTTGTTTGATTATTGATACATTAATATTGTTGTTGGAAATTAACTAAACATCGATTTGGTCATTTTGGGATTAGAAAAAAAATGATCATTATTAATATGTTTAGGCGTAGGCAGTACTGTAGAAAGGGAGGGGAACTGGGGTCACGTGCGCCACCCCCGAATTTTTTTTCGTTATACATGCAGTTATAATGTGGTTTACATAAATTCGTTATTTTATAAAATTCATTATTAGTAGTAGGTACACTATTATAAGTATTATAAAATATATTGTTTTATATTATTATGTATAATGTATTATATTCTCTTACAAAGCTACAATAATTTTTTTTTAACTTTACGTTTTAAAAATAAGAGAATAAAAATACAGATGTTAATAAACCTAATATTAAAGAAAAAATTACTAAATTACTTCAAATATTTTAGGTAGGGCTTGCGATGGCTCAGGGTAGAATAAGCTCTCCTAAGTCCCCTTTATTTACGTCTATATGTATTGTGTATTGGTTATATTACGATAAATTATTCACAATACTCGAATTTGTTTTTTTGTAATATTTCATTGTCGTGGTTTGTGCAATTATGTCGTCAATCATAATTAATAGGTATAACGTATAAAGTATAATAATAATATGTACTCGTATACGAAAAATTCGTAAACATATCTTGGATATTATTGAATTACAACTACGTTAAAAATTTAACTGGTTTTAAATTTTAATTGTCGACGACACAAATAACCGATAAGTATTTTTCACCATACCTTAAAATTCATTTAGTGTAATCGTTACATCGTTTTAATTTATAGCTAGGTATATTATTATAATTCTATAATTTAATCTGGACACTACGTCTTTTGTAACAACTATTAAATCGGTCTATCCTATTTCATACAATATATTATTATAAGTAATTAATCTATGATCTTAATGTTATGTAATATGTTTTTTATTTTCTATTAATATTTTATTACTAATAATAATATTGATAATACCACGGTAATAAGGAGCCTGCAATTAATATTTGATGGGTTCGTTATATTGTTATTATTTTAGATTCTGAGTGTAGAATTCTGAGTACGAAGAATGTATTGGTTTTACTAAGATGTTTATTTTTTTTATCATGTGTACAAAAATTCTACCAGAAATCTTGCTCAGATATATACGCACGGCACCATTTCTGAAAAGGAATGTCGTCCAGATGTTACTTCTGGGAGGTCGTTTTTGATTTTTCTAGCGATTTTCATAATACCTGGTAAATCCAGGATAAAACGTAAGAAAAACGGAAATTTAGGAAAATAATGCTTTTATTATTTTTAAATTTTGTTATTTGTTGTAATTCAGTAATTCAGTCATTTTAAGGCTTTTTATAAAAATGTTAATATTTTTGTTGAAAGTCAGTTAAAAATTTTTATGTCGACTCAATGGACTTAAAATTTGGTCAGAAATCTTATATTTCTTTTCTTGAAGTTGTAAAATTTTCGAAAAATGTAAGCTATTTTTGGGCTATTTATAGACATTTTAATTTTGCGAGTTTTGTTCGGCATTTCTATTCGGAAGGTACTCTGTGGTAAAATTGTTGGACTTGCACAGAAATGCTTAATAATTTAACAGGAGGTTCATTAAGAGTCTTACTTTGTAGTCAAAAAATTGAATTTAATGTAATATTTTTTTTTATAATGGAATTTTAATAACAAATCTTGACGAAAATCGTTTGAATGCTTTAAAATTACGATTTTAGATTTTTTTGGTATAACAAAATCAACTACGTCTACTAGCTGTATAAGTACAATAGACATAAATGCAACTGGACCATTAACTTTAGGGATGCTAAAATTGTCTAAGGGGTTTATGAAATAATTGGGAAAAACCGAAAGAAAATTATAGGTAAAACTACAAATATTTAAGGGGTTCCGCGGTGCTACTTGTGTTTATTGTTTTTAGATATTTAAAGTATTTTTTAAAATAATTGGAAAAAACGAAAATGACGATTTTTTTTTTCAAATTACGGCACAACTATTTCATTATTTAAAACATTTACAACTTATGTTTTTTACAAAAAAAAATTGCTCCAATAGAAAAAAAGACCTTTTTTGTTGTATTATTAATCTAGTCGGTGATCAAGAAAGTCGTTTTTTGATTTTCTTTGTAGTTTTTTTAATAATTCAGTAAAACTGAAAAATACGCAGAAAGTATGAAAAAATTAATAAAAGTGATTCCTTTATTATTTTAAATTTTGTTTTTTTAATGTCATTTGATCAAAAATATTCGTAGAAACTTGACATTTTGACAGAAATTTTTTTTTTTTTAGACGTGGTAAAATTTTTAACACATTTGAATATATTTTTAGGCATTTTAATTTAGCGAGTTTTTATGTGACTTTTTATTTGGTAGGTACTCTGTGGATACAACTGTTAGACTAAACAGAAATGCTTGAAAATTTGACAGGAGATGTATTAAAGTCATACTAAGTGGTAAAAAAAAAAAAATTGAGTAAAGTGTATTATATTTGTTTTGAATTTTATTCTTTATTTTATACGTCTTTATTCTATTCCATCAACTCAACTCTGCTCAGAATCTTTTTTTCATTAGCAATGATTAATCGTTGCATACAGATATACATTAAATTTCCTTCTATATTCTACCTTCCTAACTTCTTACCTATAACAGTGACCCACCCATAAAGCGAAGTATGTCCGTTCTTTTTATTTTTAATAACTAACAAAAAATGATAAAAGACCTTTTTTTGTTGCATTTTGGATTTAGTTGGTATGTTAAGTAGGACATTTTTCGATCTTTTAGGTAGTTTCCATAATAATTTGGAAAACCAGTCAAATATTAACTGCATGCCTAGGCGTTACCGATTCCATTATTTGAATTTTGAACTTTAGTTTTATACAAGAAATCTTCCTCTAAATTTCAAGAATTACATCTTAAAGGAAAATTTGTCTAGTCTTTGATAGCAGCGTTGGCCACGCCGTGGGGAGGAGCATGCGGTGACGACGTCGTCAAAACCGCGATCTGTGTACCAGGATCCCATGACAAGTTTCGGTGGCCCATAGTCGGTGGCGATAGCAACTGCAATGCGTAGACTTATAAAAATAATCAAAAAATAATATTTCCTCAATGCACCAACTAGATAAAATTTGCATTCAGAATATTCGCGACTCTTGAAATTTGGATTAACATTTTTGAAAAAAAAACAAAAATCGAAAAAAATTAAAAACAATCTACGCCGCCGTAGATTTGTTCCCTTTTCTTTTCGTTCCCTCCCCCCCCCCCGGTTTTTACCAAATTTCAAGATTCATATTTTTCCGGAAAATAATTTCATCTAGTTGGTGTATTGACGAAATTATTTTTTGATTTTCCCGTAGTCTACAAGAGGCAGATGCTAACGTCAGTGCCGCAATAGACATCTATGGCATGGGATCCTGGTATACAGATCGCGGTTTCGACGACGTCATAGCAGGCTCCTCCCCCACGGCATGGCCAACGTTGCTAAGGGCTAGCCGTCCGACGCCAGCATAATAAATAGATAACAATAAAAGATATCCTAGGATAATAGGGACAGGTGTTAACGAAAAAACCATTCTGAGCGGAGTTCAGTTGATAGTGTTGCTTTGTCAACAATATATATGCCATATTATGGTAAAATAAGTAAATAGGCATTATAGGTATATTTTCTTTAATCTAATTTGTCTAATGTATTGATTTTTCCGTTTTTCCTACGTTTATCCCGGTTTCCCACATTTCCTGGGAAAACATTAGGGAAAAGAAAAAAAAGACCCTTTAACCATTTAAGTACCTTCCCAGTCAGATTTCTTTTCAGAAAAAGTGTTATCATTGTAAATCGGAGAAAAATTACTGATAGAAAAGTTGTTCGCAGGAATAAGAAGGCTGTAATATCTTTACCAAGATTTCGTACATTTTCCGTTTTTCCTCAGTTTATTTTCGGTTTTTCACACTTTTTAAGAAAACTACTGGGAAAATCGATAAATTACCTCCCTAAAGTACCTTCCCAGTCCGATTTTCTTTAAAAAAGTTGCTATGCTTTAAAATCGGAGCAAGATTTCTGGTAGAAAAGTTGCGCACATATTAAACAAATATATATGTATACAACTTTGTAGAACCATAAGCTTCTTCGCACCCACTCAGAATCTAAAAGACCATCGGATTTTTCCTAGAAATGTCATTTAATTACGTTTTTAGGGAATATTACTTATAATTTATAAAACATAAATATTATTAGAATGTTAATCATGTGTAAAATAAATACTTATTTATTGTAACTATGTATCCATTATTGTAATATAATGTAGCTAACAAAAGAAATATAACTAAATGGATAAACAATTTCAAAAAAAAAAAAAAAATAGAAAATTTCATAATAAAGGGTGTCCACGAAAAAACATTTTGTTTTGAAAAAAAGCATTACTTTTTTATTTTTGGTCAGAATTTAAAAAATCGTCTATGGTTGTACTCAGAAGATCCCGAAGTTAACGCATGGAACACAATATGCCCTCCTTCCTGTTGGCCCTACGATTGATCTGTCCATGCAATTTGTGATGATGCGCTAAAATATTTCGCTATCCAGTTCTCCTATCACTCTTTGGATTTCTTGTTCGTTAACTTAATACCATGAAAAAAGTCACAGGGGGTTAGGTCGAAAAACCGTGGAGACCAGCTTTGGTTCTCACGTAATGAGATGAGTCTGCCAAAAATCAAAACGTGCGTTTCCATAGGAAATCTTGCCATGGTTACCGACCCGAAAACATGGTACACTTTTTAAAAAAAAAAAAATATTCTTTCGTGGACACTATTGTACGAAATTATTTCAAAATGTTGTTTATTATTTTTGGCCTACGAACTACAATATGATACCTACATGATATCTACAAGTATTTTGCGAGGGTGAAACTACCCAGGCTGTATAAAGTATTCCGTGTTCCATCATGAAGACCTAATTGAGAAACCAAATCATACCATAAAAAAAGGAGAACTTGCACTGATGTGCAAATTTGTTTTAGTTTTTCGATACCGAAAATAAAAAAAAGTTATTATTCTAAAATTGTATAGTTTTAATTATTTAAAACTTAAATAATACATTTATTTCGTATATTAGTTATGCTAAAAAACTAAAACTAGCGTTGCACAGTGCAAATTCTATTTTCTTATGGTGAAAATTTGGTCTCTGAATTAAGTCTGAGTAGTTTTAGTTTACGCAAAATTGTGTTTTATAAACATTTTTTGTTCAATTCACGATTGTACAATAAATATACTTGTGATAAAAACATGGATCTATTTGTAAATATCTTTGAAAGTAAATTTGAATATTTTTGAGTGGATAATATTTAATTTTATCAACAGTTTTAAGAAAATTGTCAATAAATGAGCTCTTAAATACGGGTGGTAACATATTATGTTAATAATTCATAATTTGTATTTATTTATAATTGTCATGATATTTCACTTTACAACTCAATTGCGATTCAAAACAAATTCACGTTATGTGTACGATTTTATTATACTTATAAGTTTATAACATTTTCAACTCACCGGCCACGGTGGCAAATACTTGTCTGTGCGTGCCCGACTTAAACATTTCTAAAGTTTATTGTTATTTTTTTTTTCTTTTAATATTCTCCAATTAGTTGTCAAAATATAATATTATTATCTGTAACAAAACAACATAATATATTATTCATGAACTTAGAATTATAGGTATAGGTGTCCATCTTACAGAGGCGTATTTTAGGATTTTGCCATGGAGGAAGCTATTGAATTTTAAAATATTGTCATATTAAATATCATATTATGTATCCGAACTAAAAAAAAATTATCGATTTTAATTTATATATATTTCAAAGTAATTTATAATATAATTTACTCGAAAATTATATACATAGATATGTAATAGAAAATGATCATGTCTTGATTTATATATTGTTTTTTCTGTAATTATTAATTAAACTCCAAAAATGGATGAGTGTTAGTTCACTACGTTTTAATATTAATAAACGATTAGATTGGATTTTAATAAGTTGGGCTTGATCAACTAATCTTATACAGGATACAGAATATGATGTTACTGCAAAATAATTGCGCTCCCAATAATATTCGTCAACAGGTAAAGATGGAAAATAATATTTTTTTCATTTTTTCTTTTAAAACTATGAGATGGTTAAAAATTAAATCAGAAGTTACTTTTCCATCTGGATCAATACCTGATATTAATGGAAAAATTTACATTTGTTTTTTTTTTACGTGTGATATCCAAAGTTAAATTTTTGGTAAAAACAATTTAGTTTACTACTTAATGTTAATATCTTCTCATGTTTACAATTCTTGAATGAAGGTTATTTAAATGGCTAAAAATATCAGTTGAATAGACGATTCCAAAATGTGTCGTGACGTATGATAACTTTATTTATAATGTGCCACGATGGAAAAAAAATTTGAGAAACACTGAACTATACTATAATCAAGGTAAGTAATTATTTTTAAATAATTTACTATTTAGGTAGGTAAAGTGTCGGCCTAAACTTTTTTTCTTCTATTTAAGTATTTTTACAGTGTTTTTTTATTTTTTAAGCACGGCCCCAAAAAGACGTTGTCAGTAAGATCCATGTTCCTAGGCATTTAAGGAGTGAGCATTCTGTGCAAATAATTAGTTACCCATAATAATAAATACATTTTAGAAAAATACCTTGGTACCTATATATTATATAAAATATGTATATTATTAAAGATATATTTTTTAATAAACATTCAACACGAAAATATAAGACATGTATCTATTATAAAATATGTAAATGATAATAATAAATTGTAATATTTAAATAATTTAATAGTGGTCTTTCTGTACAGGGGTCAAAAATTCAATGCTGGGACCCAGTTACAACAATAATTATGATCTATATAATTAAAGAGAAAAATAATTTAGATCACAAAACTATGAGTGAAAGATTCTCTCAACGGAGTAGGTACTTCGAATTTATTGAATTTAATTACCGAAAGATTATTGTAATCTTGTAAAATTGTGACATAAGTACTGTAAGTTGTGACACATTAACAAATGACTTATAAACAGATAACAATATAAATCTATCGTTGATCGGTCTAATTTCAAATATTGTTAAATGTTCGTGGAATACAAAAAAATATTAACAATAATTTTTAATTGTTTGGTTTTGTAATAATTAACAGGTGGTAAAATTATGCGTAAACAGATTAAATAAGATCATTTTTTTTATCATGAACCAGCAATTATTTAAGTTTTTAAAGTGAATTTGATTTCTGTTGTTCCTAATCATTAAATAATGTATTCAACAATATAAAATAATGTAAAAATTGTTTTTTAGACTAATAATAACTTAATCAAACATATAAACAATAGAACTGAACACATCACAAAAAATCCCCCTTTTTTTTGAAAGTGCTGATGAATATAAATAACTTAAATGTAACTGTAATAAATTTTGTATAAGTTAGTCAAATAGAAATTTTAAAATAAGATATAAAGAACACATTTCTGAAATAAAATGTAAAAAGACTACCCCTAATTCAAATTTCGCCAAACATGTTTTAAAAAATAACCATAATATAAGTTTTGATATTAATACAGACTTTGAAATATTAAATATCTAAATTAACATTTACATTGATTCAGTTTTAGAAGAATTAGACATACACAATGAAATAAAGAAAAATAATTTTTATAATATTTTAAATGCTCAAATCTATTTTAAAAATAATATCTTATATCAACACATTTTAGATAATAAATAACTAATTATGTCTAATAATAACTCATTTTAAATAATCTCTCCTATTAAAATAAATTATTTCTATGTAAAACTTTCAATTTGTATAATTTGTTTGTTATGTATTCCTTCATTTATTTTTTCATATTCAGTCGCGTTTTACTTTTTGATTTTATGATATTACTTGACGATGAATTTTTAATTTGAAAACTGTTGTACAATACAAATCCCATAATACCCCAGGCGACACATTAATTAATTAATTTATATATTTAGTTTTGATTATTAACTATTTAATAATTTTGTTTTTAATTTATTATTTTATTTTTAATCATTATAACAATAATAATAATCTTTATTACGGAATAAATTCCAATTTACATAATTTAGTATAAAATGAAAGATACATTTAAAAATATAAGAAAAACAATAGGTACATATATAAATATTATAAAAGGAAGAACATAAAATGGTATTTGAATATTAAAATATATTATTGAGAACATTGATTGACAAGTGAAGAAAATCTATATTATTAATATTATTGGCTGTTGACATAATCATGTAAGAGAGAGCCATATAGTGATTTTAAGTAATGGGTAAATAAAAAAAAGATTCATATCTTGCATTAGGTAAATCAATTTTACAACTTTAAAGCTCTAATAATTCTGGGCAATCTACAACATTGTTTAATAACTAGTATAAATACTTCAAAGTTTACGGAGGGTTTTTGTTGATACATATATGTATATGTATTAAAAAGTAGGTATAAATATATTAAATATTAATGTACAATTAAAAAAATAAGTAGTCTTTTTATGTGTAATTATTCCACTATTAAGAGGTATCTATTAATAGAGGTTTCACTGAATAATAGTGTCACATTTGCCCTTGCATAAACATCTTTTATGTTCTTGACCATCTCTATTTGATATCTCTTTTTTTTTTCGAGATAATAATTTTTTTAATAAATTAACAATTTATTTTTTGCCACCATTAGATTCTATTTTTACTTAAATAACAAACCTATCTCGTTAAGACACAAACACTAACTAAAACTGTATTGTGTGACTTTATTTTATCTATTTTGTAATACTGAGAGATGTATTATAAATAATATCATGAAAAACATATCAAAACCAAGACTTAAGTCCATTGGAATTATTTACGTTAAAAATTATCTAATATTCTTTTGCCGAGTTACTTTAAATATTTTAATATTTAATATATCAAGAGTTAAATTATAGGCTCATTTATCGTCATATCATATAAAAATGTATGTATAATTTCGTTATGAATGTTTTACACTACTTCTTCTGCCGGTACAGTGTAAAGGGATGTCCTCAACTCGCCATGTCGTTCCTTTTTGATTGCACGAAATAATTTGTACCCATCGTTTTATCAACAACCAACATTATCTCTCACTATCACTATTAATTTACCATCACCCAAAAATGAGCAAATTGTTATTGCATATTTTTCTTAAAATATATTAATATCATTAATATTTATTATGTTATAGTACTTATGAATATTTATTATTATTTTGCCATCAATATTTCACCGTCTACACTTCAGGTTTTTTATTATTCATACTATTTTCTGTCAAAAAAGGTGACGCCATTGAATTATTATCTAAACAGTATCGACTTTATTAATATAATTTACTTGTATTATACGATTAACTAATAATAATAATAAAAACGCCAAAATTATTTTTCTTAATTTTAGTTATTAATATATTGCTATTTTTAATAGTTACGTTCTACTAGTAGGTACCTATTGATTTTAAAATCAATTGTACAACCTACAATAAAATTACTTGGTATTTTACGTAATAGTACTAGTTTGTGATTTAATATTATAAGTACAGTCGTGTAAAATGTTTAATACGACAAACTTTTTGCATAAAGTGCATATCTGTCCCTAAAAAATTGTATTATTTTGCGTTTACATAACATTAGATATTAATTACGTTCACAAAGTTCATATTGAATTTAAACTAGTATTAAAATTGATTATTAATTTACATTTAATTTTAATTTTAAATTAAATTATTGAAAATTGTATTACTAGTTTAATTTATTATTAAAGTAACATTATTTATGAAAACACTAAAATAACGTTATCAGCTATAACCAGCACGTCCAAAAGTTGAATTTATTCAACTCTGTGGTATCCGCGATAACGACTTAGAAGACACGATCAAAATGTATATACTATAATAATATGAGCCAGTCAGAAAAGAGTATTTCACACGAAACGAGACGACACGGTAAGTTGAGGACATCCCTTAACTATTTATTCATTAACCAGTATTCTAGTAATAACTTGAATACAAAACAATGACTGAACAACACTCGTAAATTTAACATATATTAAAATTTCAATTTATCAATCATTTGTAAATATTTATATAAATATTTAACAATACATTTATTAACATATAACAACTAATTTAGTACAGCCGGGCATTTTAGCGGTTTAGACGTATAGTACCTATATAGAGCAATCATAAAAAGTTTTAAAATGGTTTGTGTAGTATACCTATACAGTGTTAGTAAAAACGTTTGTAATTGTTAAATTTAACATTATCCAGAGTCGATTGTTTAATGTTGACATTAGTTGGATAATTTGAACGTTATGCAGTTATAAATTAATGATTAAATATTATCCAAAAAAAATGGAAGATAGTTCACCTCTCTGGGCCTAGCCTTGTATTATAGATGTTCATAAGATGTTTAATTGGAAAATATGGGATGGAGTACAAATCGAAATAAAAATGCAGTGGCGTAACAAAGAATGTTTTAAGGGAAGGTTATCAAAATAAATCTTCATGCAAATCTCGTGGGAGGTTAGCCTCACACAACTCCTCCCTCCTTACTAACATTTAATAACAATACTGGGGCTCTGAAGTTCTTTTTTAAATGGCACGTTTGCGTTTTTAAAATCGCAACATTCTAATTACGTTCGAACGCGTAGTATGTAAAGCTTAAAGTGAAAATGACTATTTATTTTGAGATAAATTATTAAGAAAATTGCTTATCTAGTATAATAATAAATTATGAATATATTGGTACTTACCAATACAGTTAAATATTTATAATTTTAGACTCTGAGTGGAGCGAAGAAGCTTATGGTTTTACAAAGATGTTTATTTTTATTTTTTATCTGTACACAACTTTTTTTCTAGAAATTTTGCTCCGATTTTAAAGTTTAGCACCTTTTCTAAAATAAAATCGATGTGGGAAGGTTCTTTAAATAGGTCATTAATCGATTTTCTTAAGAGTTTTCTCATCAAATGTGAATAACTGAGAAAAATATGGAAAAAGTATATTACTCATATTAGTCATTACAAATAACAGCTCGTGGTGAAATAAAGTAAACCTTAAATTTACTTAATTCGTATTAACTTAATATGACTTAAAAGTTAAAATAACGAAATGTGTTCGGTACCTAGTATTATACTTTTTTATATTACCTATCCGATTCGTGTTATTCGTTTTCAATAATATAGTTAATCGTTATTTTGAACCCAATGTGCTTTATACATACGTAATTCACTTGTATAGTATAAGATCGGGTCTAGTTATACTCGTGTATTTTACTATTATAGTTGGTATTTGTTCACAATCGAATACTAAGTAAAAATTGGTATTGAAAAATACATATACGGCCCTAACGACTTTTCTCTTTACGTTCACGTTCTTTGTACGCCTAAATTAAATACGCTCTTTTCCGAAAGTAATACGAAAATGTATAGATAAATGCAGTTATTATATATATATATGTATATAAATTAAAAATATAATAGGGCTTACTTGATTTTCGAAATCATAATAAATAATGTTCGTATGAATTTTATTTTTGACAGAACAATCACATTGAATACGCGCGATTAATGTTCATTTATTTTTTGAAAACACACATTACTTTGAGTTTTTTCAAACTATAGATACCGGCGATGACAATATTAGTATAATAATGGTTATGTAGCTACTAAAACTCAGTTATGAAAAATAAAAAAAAATCATGATACCCCCACTACTCGTATTGGACACTACAAATACATTAAGTTTACAGATTTATGAATCATCTGAAATTATGTAATTAATTATGTCTATTGTGTATAATAATGTATACAATAAAATATGTATATTAATAAATTATACAGAGTGTTTATCAAACACAATAGATTTTTCTAGAGTTGTATACATTAAATTTGATGAGACAAAATTTGTTTTAATGTTTTTTTTAGGGACATATGTATTTAGGAAAAAATTAAATTTTCATTCCCTAATCACTAAAGAAAAAAACAGTTATTTATTCACTTCACAAAATTTTTAAAATAAAATTGCAATTTTGTAAAAGATATTATTCTAAAAATTTTAATGTATTATCACATTCATATCTGATCAATAGTTTTTAGTAACAGCCATTTTAATTACTAATGTTTTAAATTCATAACACAATAAATCAAATTAATCCTTATTGTGTTTCGCGGTGGTCTGGATTTTCACAGAACTTAAACGTTTAAAATGAAAAAAAAATTGAATATTAATAGTTCTCGAAAAATCCGCTGAATACGGTGAGATACTGTATATACCTATGTATTAATCAATTATTTTATAATTAGATAATGAAATTTCGGTCGTATTAATTGGGACCGGTGACGTATGCTATTGTTGTATCATTATATTAATATACTCCATAGATCGATCGGATATATTTGAATCAAGTACAATATATTGCATTTGGACAAACAAAACGAAAATGTGACAAAACGACATTATTTATTTATTGTAATGTAGGACATTTGACACCCACTGATAGGACTTTTGGGGTGTTATATTTCTGGAAAATATTTTTTTGGACCGTATTTTGTTGGAAATGTATTTTATCAAAAAACGATTTACTTTTTTTTAATAATAATAACAACTTTATAAAGTAAATACATATATAAATATAAAATGTATACATAAAAATAAAATAAATTAATTAATGCGTCACGTGGAGTATTATGATAAGTGTATTATAAGATCGGTTTCGAATTAAAAATTCATAAGATATATCACAGTCAAAATATAAAACGCGACTACGTGAATAATTTTATAATAAAATATCTATACATTGTTTTACAAAATAATTGTTTAAATACTACTGCGCTCTCTATAATCTGTATGTTTGTGCTGGGAGTGCGGTTCTTAGCAATGTATATTTACAATAGATATCAAAATTGATTATTAATTAATTAACAAAACAGAAAAAAAAAACATATTTTATAATAAATTGTTCACATACATTATAGCTAATAAAAAATTATCTTATATTAATATAATACAAATTATAAACTAGATAAATCTAAACGTTTTATTCATAAAAAACATTACATTTTTAAAATTATTTATATTAATATTAAATAAACGACATAAATTCAAACCTGTATAAAACACACTTGTTTGACGAAATACTTTGTAAGATTGGGTAAAATTATATGAACATTTTGTTTGTTTTTAATTTTGTGTTCATGATCTAACAGAGGAATTACATTTTTATGTTTACACAAATTAACTAGAATCGATAAATTATAAATACACATAAAATCCTTTATTTTAAATTCTTTATAAATCAATACAATGCTCGTTTTCATTGGTAGATTTAGTAAGAATTGTATTATACTGTTAATACTTAGTAACAATAAGTTTTGATAAAATATATTTAGAAGCTCCTCCCCAAATATATACCTATACCATATGAATAAACTGATTGTACTAATGCAAGATAAATTACTTTTTTTATATGAATTGTTAAGTATACATCTAGCCTCTTTAAAAAAGTAGTAAAATGTACGTAAAATATTATTAATGTAGTTAATATGGCTATCTCTTTTGAGCCTGTAATTATGCCTAGGTATTTTATTTTTTTCATTTTTTCGATTATAATACATTTCAGTCAGCAAGTTGTACTTAGATTAATGATTACATTGTAAAGAATGAACTATGAGGTTATTTTTTGTTAAAGAATTTAAATCTGGCTGTTCAAAATATAATAATTTTGGTTTGATAAAATTAAATTTAAGTTTATTTTTACAAAACCAAACATAAATATTATTTAATATCTTGTTTGCTTCATAGTATAAAGTCTCAATTGTTGATCAGATAATAATATAGCTATATCATTAGCGAAGATTAATAATTCCGTGTTTTGATTAATTTTTAATTTTAAGAGATCATTTATAAAAAAAAATAAATAATAAGGAACCTAATACAGTACCTTGTGGGTTTTCTACAAGATACATTTGATATATTTACTGTAATGCTCATCACATTTAACTCTTTGAGTTCTGCCACTTAAAAAAGATTTAAAGAGATTATTTGCTACTTCACGTATTTCAGAATTTTTAATTTTCTTAATAATAACTCATAATTTACACAATCAAATACTTTCTGCACATACAAACAAATACTAATTACTTTATTATTTTCATCCATATTTTTTTCTAACAAAGTTAACAATCCTAAATAAAGCATCATTAGTAGATAGGCCAGTTCCAAAACTAAATTAGGAATTTGAAAGAAATTATTTCTTTTTAAGAATTTAAGTACTCTAATTTTGATTTATTTTTCAAACAATTTTTATAGTTATTGATAATGAAATTGGTCGGTAATTTCCACATGATAAATTATCACCTACTTTAAATAATGGTGTCACTAAACATTTTTTCAGAGGCTGCAGGATGTTGTTCAGTTAATGATTTATTAAAAATAATAGATAAATTTAAAGAAAAAGATTTTGAAACATTTTTAAGTAAACAATTTGTCAAATAGTTTTCGAAATATGAAATATGAATTTTCATTTTATCAAAAAGTTAAATAATTTCATCCTTATGACTTTGATTTAGAAATATTACATCATTAATAATATAGCATTGACATTAAGTAAAAATTTATCCGAACTTATATGCTTTATACCTAAGTTTTTCTCTACCATCCTTATTTCTTATCTGGTTTATTTTATTTTTTTTTGGCTCATTTTCCGACAACTTCATTAATTATATTCCAAATAAGTTTAGTGTCTTACTGGGCGTGCTGTAATCTCTTTTGATGATATTATAATTATTTGGGTTAACGTACTATAGTTTATTTAGTATATTTCTATATAAATTGTAGTATTGCTTTAATTTTATGTCAAAAGACTTGGATTTTAATTTAATAAATCATTTTTTACTATTTCTAATAGAGGTTAACACTTGTAATTCATTTCAATTTTTCGCATTTTAGATTCTGAATATAGCGAAGAATGTATTGGTTTTACAAAGATGTTTATTTCTTTTTTTTCTATGTGAACACTTTTTCTATCAGAAAGCTTACTTCGATGTATACGATGTAGACTCTTTTCTGAAAGAAATTTTCTTGATGTGGTAATTTAGGGAGGTAATTTTTTTGAATTCCCAGTTTTCCCTTTAAAAAGGAAAAAGTGAGAAAAACGGAAAAGTATACAAAATATATTAGTAAAATATTATGATTTTTTTTCTGTGGACAACTATTCTACCAACAATTTTGATCCAATTTACAATGATAGCATTTTTACTTAAAGGAAATTTGACTGAGAAGGTACTTTAGGGAAGTAATTTTACAAAGAGTTTTCCCAGTGAATGTGGAAAAACCGAGAAAAACGTAGAAAAAATGGGGAAATCAGTAAAATATTAAACAAATATTATTAAAGAAAATTCATAATGCCATTTAATTATTTTACCATAATGTGACATATTATATATTGTTGACAAAGCATCACTATTAACTGAACTCGACTCAGAATCGTTTTCTTTTTGTTAGCAATGGTTCATCATTGCTTACTGATATACATTAAATTTCCTTCTGTATCCTACTTTCCCAACTTCCCAGCTACAACAGTGGCTGTATCCATATGTGAAGTATGTTCGTATTTTTTAATTTTTTTAAAATTTGTTTATCTTATTTTTAGAAAGAGTTGCATAGTTAATAAATTATTTTATTTTAGAGTTGATAACTTCTACCATATTATCAACATTATCAAAGTTCAAACAAGAATACTAGTATTCCGTTTTTATTAAAATATCTAAGTGATTAATGTCAATTTTATTAAGTATCAAATTATTATATTTAATTCTTTTATTCTTAAAATATCGGATATAATCAAAATTGTGGCATGATGGTCAGTTATATTGGATCTTAATATATTCGAAAAAACTTTATTGGGATTAATGTTTTTAATGAATATAATATGATCTATGCAAGTTTTAGAATGATTTTTCACTTTAGAGAAGTTTTTAATAACAAGGTAAAAATCCATTTCTTGCCATAGTAATATTATCATTATTAATATTAGAGCCATTCATTATATTTATATTAATGTCTCTCCTAAAAATACTTAATAAGTTTTTATTGATTTGACATAAAAACAAATCTAAGCTTTTTAGAAATAACTTCAAGAAATCATTTGGTGACCCACAAATCAAATTAGAGAAAATACTAATTCGTCTATTTTAATTTTAATTTGTATTGCATTACAATTTAATAAGATTATTTTTTAATTTGCAAAATATTTGGGGATTTTCTAATTAAGACAAAATCACTTTTGTTAAACGTTTCTGTAGAATTAATAGTTATATAACCATTTAATTTAAATTCATAGTCATTTAAAAGCCATGTTACACATAACACAATAATAATATTTTAATAATGATAAATGAAAAAGATGATATCATATTAAGTTAACTCTCATTGTTTTATGTCTTATTAATTATTCTTGTCTAGACGTCACCTCCTTTTAAATCTCGCCCAGCAATGACTTTGTTTCCACTGTTGCACATTGCACCGTCTCTTTAGTTGCATCTACGTTGTTTTAAGGAGCACACCATATGCGGATATTTAGTCACATCCGTGGGAGGTTTAAGATTTTTGTCTTATCCATGAACGTGAACACACATTTTTAGACACTTCAACTTACTAGCTAGTG